GTTGCCTAAGATTAAGGAAGCAAATAAAATCTAGCAGTTCTGACCCATTTGTCTGTTGAATTGCTTATATAAGTTGATCACGAAGACACTTACTATAAGACTGGAAACTATAGCTGATAAGCTAATTCACAACACCCAAACTGCTTTTATGAAAAACAGAAATATTATGTCTAGGATTATGTTCCTACATGAAATTTTACATGAAACAAAGAGAAAAAAATGAAATTGGTGTGATCTTGAAGTTGGACTTTGAAAAGGCCTACGACAAGGTCAATTGGAAACTACTTTTTGATTGTCTGGAAAAAAGAGGTTTTGATAGCAAGTGGTGTGATTGGATTAAACAAGTTGTTACAGGTGGAATGGTCTCAGTTAAAGTTAACAATAAAATTGGTTCATACATAATGAGTTACAAAGGGGTGAGGCAAGGGGACCCCTTGTCCCCAATCTTGTTCAATTTTGTAGCTGATTGTTTGACTAGGATGGTTCACAAGGCTCAAGCAAATGGTTTGTTAACTGGGTTGATCAGCCATATCATTCCTAATGGAGTTGCTATATTACAATATGCTGATGATACTATAATATTCCTCAAACATGATATTGAAAATGCTATTCACATGAAATTCTTGTTACATCTGTTTGAAAAGCTTGCTGGTTTGAAAATAAACTTCAATAAGGGTGAGATTTTTATGGTTAATGATGAAGGGAACTAGGGTCAGAAATATGCTGACATGTTTAATTGCCAAATTGGCCTTTTCCCCCATTAAGTATTTGGGTGTCCCAGTTAGCCCAAGTAGATTGAAAGTGTGTGATTGGCTTCCTTTACTTGAAAAAAGTGGTAAAAGATTGGATGTTTGGAAGGGTGGAAACTTATCCACTGCTGGGAGAACAACCCTGATTTCTTCGAGTCTAAATAACTCACCAATTTATCATATGTCTGTGTATTTGCTCCCCATGACCACTGTGAAAAAATTAGACCAGATTAGAAGAACCTTTTTTGGCAAGGGGGGGACAAAGAGGAAATACCATCTGTTAAAATGGGAAATTATTTGCAAAAGCAAAAGGAAAGGTGGTTTGGGTGTTAAGGACTTGAAAAAAATGAACATCAGTCTCCTTTGCAAATGGTGGTGGAAGCTAGAAAACGAAGATGGCTTATGGCAGCAAATTGTGAAACACAAATATATGCAGAATAAATCAATTCATGAAGTTTGTCATAAACTGAACGACTCCCCAATCTGGGCATATCTGTTAAAAGTTAGAGACATTTATTTGCAGGGGAGAAGCATTTCTATTAAGAATGGTGAACTGACTAGGTTTTGGTTGGATCCTTGGGTATATTCCTGTGCTGTTTACACTTTGTGAGAATAAGAACATTACTGTAGCCCAAGCAATGAATGGTGTGCCCATTACTTTTCGAAGATGGATTTTCCAGGAACTCAGAATAATGTGGGAAAAGATATGGCTAGATGCTTCCAATTTTAATTTAGATTCCTCGCCAGATAGGGTTGTATGGAGTCTGGAGAAGAGTGGAAGGTTTTCTGTGAAGTCTCTATATGAAGGTTTAACTAAAAATGAATGTGGTGTCTCTCTTAAGAGGAATTGGAAGGGTAAAATACCTGCAAAAATAAAGATTTTTCTGTGGCTTATGTCTAATGATGTTGTGCTTACAAAAGACAATTTGCTTAAAAGAAAATGGCAGGGTGATCCTACTTGTGTCTTCTGTGAGTGCGATGAAACTATTCCACATTTGTTTTTCCAATGTCCAGTTGCAAAAGTAATTTGGTTAGTCATTGCTAAATGTTTTGGAGCATCTAACATTCCTATGAATCTGAATCAGTGTTGGTGCTGGTGTGAAACCTAGTTTCCTTTTGGTGAAAAATACCACCCTTGGGGAGTTGCTGCCATTTGCTGGGCAATATGGAAGAGCAGGAATAAAGCATGGTTTGAGAAAAAAAGCTGATTAAAAATCCCCTTGAAATAATTTGCCATGCAAATGCGCTTATGAACTATTGGGCAGGACTGTATGCTGATCTAGACCGTGAGCAGATGATAGAAGGTGCCAATCTAATGCTGAAGGTGGCAAAGGAGGTTCTAGCGGCGCAAACAACAAGACAAGTGAACCTGTTGGTGCTTCAAGATGGTCAGGCAGAAGGGACCGATGAAGATTCAGCCTAAAGTAGAAGATCAAAGCCGAGGCGTCAGATTCCATGGGAGTTAGTTTGTTGTTATCGCTAGCCGGTGGTTGTTGCCCTGTTTTGCTTTCTGTGTTAGTATGTTGGTTGATGAACATTCTCTTGCTTTGTCTGAAACTCTTTATGTGCAAGGCTGGGTGGATGTGTGGTTTAGTAGATTTTGGTAGCTCCTGATGAAAGCTTTTGGGAAAAGTTTTTGCCTTAGTGGCCCTTTTGGTAGTTGCAATTGTCTGAAAACAATCTCCTTGGTACTGTCTGAGTCTGTAATCTCTAAACGATGTATTTTCGTTATGTCATAATGGAAATGAGATATCTCGGGTTGAAAAAAAAGGTTAGAATAAACATGAGCGTAAAGAGGATTACTAAGGTTCTCTAGTTCTGACTTGGGCAAGCTATGTCTTCTACTGTTCAACTGGGGGCATTACTAAGGAAAGACACCAACAGAGGATGCTTTCCGTAGCAACCGGGTCCTAATCGGCCTACAAACAGGAGGTGGACTACGAAGGACTCAATGAGACTATACAGTCACCCTCGCGATCTACCACCAGTCAGGAATGCAGGGTACATCTACAAGTAAGCAGAGTCTAAGCACCACACTTACACCACAATTACTACTTTACTCCCTCTAGAATAGGAATAAAGCACTCAAAAGCGTCGCTAACCTGATGAACAATATAAACAAATTACTTACTTGAATCAGAAGTTGATTACCAGAGAAATCTCAGAAGCAAGCTTAGGTAGAACTTGGATCCGCCAAGGTACAAACTGTAGAGAGAGCACCGACAGGCCGACACTTCCTCTAAACTCTTCCCTCCCTCACTATCTCACTATTTCTATTTACAAGACTAGATCCTAACTTGAAGGACTAATATTCTCTTGATTGTTGACGCTGATCCTGACTATGAGGATATGAATTAGGGTTTCAGGATGGCTCTGCCAAAGGGGGTACAGTGGCGTATATATAGGGGGTAGCGTCAATTCTGGACCTTCGGATCAAACCGACCTAAAACAATGGCGTAGATTTGATCTTTAAGGCGGTGGAGAACCGACGTAGTGAGGAGATCATGACAGGTAGGTCCCATAGGGCGGCCGGCCCGCAGGTGGGGCTGGCCAGCCCCACATGTCAGGCTCTAGGCATGGGTCTCGGTGAGTTATCTTCTGGATTGTTCTAGAGTCTTCCTAAGTCAGTTTCGTCGTGGATAAACGTGATTTACTTTGATGAATAGGTCCACCTTGATGGTTTTATGATTAAATCCTCCTGCAGTCATAAAATCACCAAAACTCGTGGAACTTATTAGTTTAAACCCCTATCCATATATTTGGTGATGGAATTAAGTATATATATATATATATATGTTGATGGTTTTATAATTGATGTTAGTTACCGTCAATATTTCTCATCACTGAAAAACAACCATCTTAAATAGACCATATCTCTCAACATACAATGGCTATGAGTCTAATCTTGGAGTCAAAACAAAGGTATTGGAGTCCTCTACAACTTTGTCAACAGTGGCAAAAATTATTGAGGCCACCAAGATACCCTAAAAATTCGATGAACACAGACTGCACAACCTAACAGTTTTCAGAACGTGGACACGATTGATCACGAGATTTACTTCCAACAAATGCCCTCTAGACAAGCGAAATATAGGTCCTTTTGAATAACAAGGAAATTAAGGTCCTTTTGAATAAGATCAACCGCCCCATTGGAAATTTTATCTCACCTGTCATCAAAACAAACATCTTCCATTTGCCACCAATGCCCTTTCCATCAGCATCAGAGAGGAGATGGGAAGGACTGAGGGAGAGGAGATAGGAGGAGAATGGGCCCTTTCACTGACAGTCACCGGACTAAATATGGGCCGTTGAGTTGGGCCGAATGGGCCCCAGGCCAGCCGCACCTGGTCATCTGCACCTCCGGGGGGGCGCACGACCAGGGTGGGGTGGCTCCTTGCCACGCCGCCGACCCCCACACCCAGGGGAGTCTGAAATAGAAGGAGACCAGGAGGAGATTTGATAAAATTAAGAAAAAAGTAGGGAAAATAGAAATAGAATTTGTTTAGGGAATAAGAGGATTTGTTTAGGAAATAAGATAAGATTAAAAAGGAGAGTCCAAATCTATAAGGACTCCCCCTCTAGTTTGCTCAGGGGCCAAGTCCGCTAGGGACTATAAATCTAGGGGGAATGTAACTGTTTCAATCTAAGCAGAGTGTCAGCTCTTCCCCCCTCTCCCCTCTCTGTGCGCTTGCCTCTCCCTCTCTTGCCGCCGCCGCCCTAGCACGCTGTAGGTCCCACATATAAAGGGGATGTGGCTTTCTCAATCTGCTGGAGCAGCTATCCGCTATTATTCTCTACAATTCAGTTTTCTCAGTCCCTTATACTAGATTTTAAGGGAAAGGGGATCTAGCGGAGATGCTCAAGTCCTAACAAAACCAAACTGCTCAGTTCAGCAAAACAAAAACTAACTTGAATGCTGCTGCACTCACAAACTGATGTGGGTTTCTTCATGTGGAAGGTTATCTCCATGTACATCCATTCATCTACATCATGCTGAAGTCCTCATGACAGTGCTAAAAAATCTATATAAGAAGTTTTTTTTTGCCACATTTGGATATGTATCTCTGAAGTTCTAAATGTCTTTTGTTATATGATTTTTTTTTCATTAATAGATCGCTAAATACAGAAATTTCTCCAAGTACAGCTTATAGGTATGCCTTTCCATGAAGGTTTCACTATGTGTTTCTCAAATTGCAGATAGGCCATTTTTCAAAGGCTGGTGTTAAGGTTTCTCACTGTCCTGCATCTGCCATGCGGATGTTGGGATTTGCTCCTATTAGAGAAATGCTGGATTCTTGTGTTTGTGTCTCCCTTGGTACAGATGGAGCACCAAGCAATAATAGAATGAGCATTGGTATGCTTCAGAACCCTCGCAAACATTTTTACGAACATGTGTGAGTTTGGATCATGATTTAAAGAGGAATTCTTATATTCCAGAATATAGATTGCAGAGCCTAATTGACTATTCTTACTATTCCTCTTATATTCCAGAATATAGATCGGAGAGCCTAATTGACTATTCTTACTCTATTTTGACCAAATAATTATCTCATGTCCACTTTATAGAATGATTATATTCTTGTGAAGATATTCAATATTTTTCATTAAAATGTCATCGCTAGAATTTTCACAACCACATTTAACTGTTTTTTTAAGAAAATAGATTATCAGGTTGTTATCGTGTTATGTAGTTCAGCTGTGCTGTTATGTAAAGAAACACTGAACCAAACGAAAAAAATTAAGAACTGGGAAAAGCATATTTTACTGATTAACCACAAAATGAATAAAAATATACTCTCTCCGTTTTAAATTATAAGTCGCTTGATTTTTTTTTTACATCCATTTTGCTATGTATGTAGATACAATATTATGTCTAGATACATAAAAAATGGATGAACCAAGTCAAAGCGCCGTAATTTGGAACATAGAGAGTACTGTTTTGGGCATCCATTTGATTAGGTGTGCTTTTTTAATCAAATAAACCAATTCCTCTCCTTTTATTTTAAAGAATGTGTCAAACAGTTACGGTTGGATCACACAATTTACATATGCAATTGAACTTTGTACTTCATCCTAGGCCATACCCACCTTATATCTTTGAAATTTTGATATCCTTTGGTTCATTTTACATTGACTACCTTGGGCTGTACAGTAGATGAGATGTACTTAGCATCCCTAATTAACAAAGGTCGTGAGGCATACATCAGTGGAACAACAAACCCAACTGCTCTTCCTGCTGAGACTCTGCTGAAGATGGCTACTATTAATGGTGCAAAAGCAGTTCTGTGGGACAATGAAATAGGTTCGCTGGAGGTTGGGAAAAAGGTGATGCTCCCAGTTGCTATTTTGTTAATGTATGGCTCTCAATAACTTTGGTCCATATATTTCAGAGGTTGATAAATCTTATTTTCTTCATCCTAAAGCCATGCGGTTTTTGTTGTACATTTTTTCTTGAAGTCAATAGTGGGCTGATCAGCTTACTTTTCCTAGCAAACTCGCATTCATTTTGGCTGATCAGCTTACTTTTCCTAGCAAGCTCGCATTCATTTTGACTCTTAAATTATCTGGTTTAGTTGGCCCATGCAAGTATCTTGTTTGTGTAGGCGGACTTGGTTGTGGTGAATCCATTTACATGGTCCATGGTCCCCTTACATGACAGGTGTGCACTACTATGATTTATTTATTTCTTAAATGTTTGAATAACTACTATTTTTATGATTGGTTTAGCGCTGGGTCTTATGTGTCAATGTTTTCACTCTGGTACTGTAGAGGTATATTGTTGTGGACGCCTTTGTAGGGCGCCAATATAGGCGCCAGCCCAGGCCCAGTCGAGGCTAAGGGGGTTGCCAGCGGTTTAGGAAGGGGAGGATTTTAGTAGATTTATTTGGTTTGGTTTGTTAGGGAAAGTGATCCTAATCTATAAAGGACACCGTAGGCTTGTAATCAAGGATTATCGAAGAAGGAATAAACCTACCAAGGTGGACGGGTTTCCCTTCGACAGTGGCTGCGAGCAATTCTGCTGCTGCCGCCGGTGAACCTCCCGCTGCACCACTTCCTCTCTACCCTTTGCGGTCCAACTCTCAGTCCAGCTTACTCCTCCACTCTCCCCTGCGATCTCCTCACCGACGCCGTATCATATATCTATAAAGATCTTTGTTTTTGTATCTACTCCATTTCACAAATTCTGTACTGTAGCCTGTTATGACCATAATTAGCAAATCTTCTTGTTACCTGATATATGTATAGTTAGGTATCTAGCCGTGCTGCTGGGCTTCTGTATCATTGGCTGTTTGGCATAACACTTACATCTCTGGCTCTCCCTAATGCACAGCATTGCCAACATTGTCTATTGCATGCGGACAGAGAATATTGAGTCTGTTATGTGCAATGGTCGGTGGATCATGAAGGATCATAAAATCATGAATCTCAATGAGGTAATTCACTGCTTCTTTAAGTGTGCTTCAATATTGAAATGAACCAAAATGTACACAGAATACCATTTTCCTATTGTCACTCTAAAAACGATGGACACCGTAAACTGTTTCATTTCTGTTCATGCTAGTTTTCAACTTCTGATGATAGCTGAAAAGTCAAATGAATACTTGGGCACTAAGCACCAAGTATACTGGTTTGCATGGGCTGTAGCACTGCACAAAGTTCCTTAGCCCTATTTGGTTGGAACCTTGCTAAGCACCTCCTAGGCTCCCAGCCCAGGCAACAATCTTAGGACATGTTTGCTTCCCACGAAACGTGCCTTAGCCAGGCAGTTCGCATGGAGTCAGATGCCTGGCGTCACTCCCCAGGGGAGGGTGGCAACCAAACAGCCCCTTAGACTTCCAGCCCAGGCAATGCTGGATAAGTTTCTCAGATCTTTGAAGATGAGAAACTTCAAATCTCAGCTATTTTTGTCGACTAAAAATTTATGTATTGTTTTTTTTATGACCGCAGACTATGCCTGTACCTTTTTTCTTTTTCTTTTTTTATGAGACCCCCGTAGACGCCCCTGTAGATATACCACTGATGCTATCACACGTCTGTTTCTTTGTGGTCCAGGAGGAGGTAATTTCTTCAGCTGTGAAAAGAGCGAACGACCTCGTTGCGTGAGCTGGCATCAATCTCCCCAGACGGATGAACTACGTATAGTTATTCTCTTGCCATTTCGTCATGTATGGCCAGTTGCCACCATGCCGCTAATTGTAGTGCTGCAAGCTTGCATGCTGGCCCGGACGCTGGCCCGGCAGGATTTGTACTTTGTACTACGACTAGTCTTCCACTTCTTTTGGAGTAAAGACATGCTTGGAGGATCGTAGCCATGACATCATTTTCTACGAGTGTTGAATCGAAAATAATGTGCAGTAGTACGTGTGGCTTCTGTAATAAAATCATCATGAAAGTCTCAAACTGCATCAACAGTAAAAAATAGAATTATAGTAAAGCATGATTTTTGATGTGATGCTGAAAGTTTGGTGCCTCTGTCTCCTTAACATGTCTATGCCGTGTCTATGAATATAGAAAATGTTCGTGCTCACAGTTTCTTCTTTTTTTTGTGTGTGTTGTCACTAGCAAACATATTCATGCGAAAATGGGACATACAGCTTATTGTAAGATCATTTTGACAACCCGTGGCTTGGAGATTTATTTAACAATCGTGTCTTGAAATCAAACTACACATTGTGTCTGGACATACATTTCTCTGACTTGTAGGAGTATGGAAGGCTTGGAGATTTATCTAATGATCTCATCATTTGTTCCAATTTGTTATGTAATGGGGCTTTGCATTTTTCTTGGATACGTTGTATTAATTTCGTATAGGCATGAGAGTGATGGATCATGGAAACGCTCCATATTCCAATTCGTCTTCACTATACTGTGCGCCATGTCTAAAATAGGTTGTTCTAACTCGTACGGACATAGATGAATACATGATAGACCACGTAAACTTTAGCGCGTCGGGTAAGTTTCATGGTACCATCTCACCTCATGTACCAGTATTTTTTTGAGTTATTAAATGATTAACTTTATTATGTCATTTTGTATGAGTAGTGCATTTTTGCCATCCAGGATTACAAAGTTGAGCCAAAGAAATATCTTTTTTCCATTTTAAGGTACTCCAAATTATAGTAGAATTTGTAGTGGACCATCGTGGGTGGACCTAGGGGCTGATATTTCTATTATCTCAACAGGCAATAAGGGTGTTTCCAATAGTATAAGCTAGCACTAGCTCCAAGCTAAAAAATATGGAGAAAAGAGAGATCATAGTAAGCAGTCGTCGTGCTGCGAGAGATGAATGCATCATGAAACATACGAGACTATCTTTTGGGTTTATTGTAGTCTCTTGCTTTTTGAACTATTCAGTAATTTAAAAATTGATTTAACTAGCTCTATGCTAGACCATATTGAAGACGCCCTAAGAGCATGTACAATGCTTTGTTTAATTTAAAGTCGTCTGCATCACGCTATATTCGTAAGAAGCAGGGGCGGATGTACAGTATTGCGTCGGGGTCCGCTGACCCCGATGACTTTCGTAGAACCTGTGATACCCCATGTAATCTCACCGTGGAGGACCCCAGTAAAATCAGACATTGACCCCGGCAACTATGCAGCCCGGTCCAAAGAGCAAAGGGCAGCAGGCCGCAAAGCCCACTTCGTGGATGAATATTGAATAAACAAGACAAGCAGACTAACAGCTAACTAGCTAAGAAGCCCAGAAATCACGTACTGATTGCTTGCCGTCGATCCCTCTTCCTATACACACACCGGCCTGACTCTTGGTATTTCCGATCTAGCAATTCAACTCATCGTCTTCTCCGTTTGCGCTCGCCCCCGCTGCCCGGCTCGCTGCATCCTACATCTTGCCATTGCCGCCTTGCCGCCAGTGACTGGCCGTCGGCCGCCGGCGTGACGTATTGATGTCAGGTGAGGAGATTACTTATATATAATCATATACGCATGGTTGCTTACTTTTAATTGTGTTCACTCACCAATTTGACAGTCAACCAAAGCACAATGGAACGATTCTTGAAAAAAAAAAAATCCTCCTACTGATGGTCAGAATCCTGATGGAGGTGCTTCAAGAGGAGATGGCGATGAGAACCCTGATGCAGGCACTTCAAGAAGAGATGGAAGGGTAGTTGCAACAAACACCAATCATACTAGTCTTCGTTCCGTATGATCTGGCGGATAGAAGGAGAATTTCAGATTACATAGGACAAAGTCTACAAGATGAGATAAGACGCAAGTATTTGATCAGAGGTCCTTTTAGACCACCACCTGGTTTTAGGTATCCAGAAAAGATTATAGCAGGTCATCCACGTCGATTTCACCATGAATAGTTCACACAGTGAAAAGGTGGATAAATGTTTTTGTTTATACTGCTACTTATTTAGAGATTCTAATGAGGGCCAAGGTGGGAATGATGCATTTGTGAAAAATGGTTGGGATGGATTTAACAAAAAGGACAGGCTTCGAGATCATGTAGGCACCCGACCTAATAGTTTTCATAACACAACAGTTAAAAGATGCAACAATTTGATGAAGCCTGATCAATCCATTGCTAATGCTTTCAACAAGCAGAGAGATGTCACTAAAGAAGAGTATCTTGCTAGATTGAATACTTCTATTGATGCTACTCGATTCCTGTTGCATCAAGGTTTAGCTTTTCGTGGTCATGATGAGTCAGAGAAGTCCAAAAATAAAGGAAATTTTCGAGAATTGGTACAGCTTTTGGCAAAGCAAAATGAAAAAACAAAAAAGATTATTCTAAGGAATGCTCAAATGGTTTCTCTAGCCATACAGAAGGATATTGCAAACTGTTTTGCTGAGGTAATAATTTTTTTATGGTTTTGAGTTACAATAAAAATACTTATATAGGTGAGTTAACTGTGTGTTTTGTTTATCCAGATAATAGTAAAATCGACTGTTGAAGAAATCGGTGGCGATGTATTTTGCTTATTGGTAGATGAGTCAGCTGATGTCTCAGGTAAGGAACAAATGGCAGTGGTTTTGAGATATGTCGACAAGCTTGGGTTAATAAAAGAGAGACTTATTGGTGTTGTTCATGTGAGTGAGACCTCAGCTTCATGTCTTAAATCTAATATTGATAATCTATTCGCTAAGTATGGATTGAGCATGACACAAGTTAGAAGCCAAGGCTACGATGGAGCAAGCAACATGAGAGGTGAGTTTCATGGATTAAGAGCTTTAATCATGAGGGAAAATAGCTCTGCATATTATATCCACTGTTTTGCTCATCAGTTATAGTTAGTCATTGTCGCAGTAGCCAAAAAGAATGATGATATAAGTGTTTTTTTGACATGGTATCTCTACTGATTAATGTTGCTGGAGCCTCTTGCAAAAGAAAGGATATGATTAGAGAAAGTCAACAGAAGAGAGTCAGTAAAGCAATATGCAGTGGACAACTCACAAGTGGAACTGGATTAAATCAAGAACAATCGCTTCAAAGAGCCGGTGATACTCGTTGGTCCTCTCATTATAAAACCCTTCTGAGGATAAGTAGTTTATTCCCTGATGTCATTGAAGTGCTCAAATATGTTGAAAAAGAAGGTCCAACTGATGCAAAGAGACGCCAAGCCCGTGGCCTCTTGGACTATATGAAGGATTTTGATTTTGTGTTCAGCTTGAAACTAATGTTGCTTATTCTGGGACATGCAAGTTCATTGTCACTATCACTACAGAGGAAAGATAAAGACATCTTAGAGGCCATGACAGAGGTGAAAATAACAAAACAAAAATTTCAGCAACTAAGGGATGATGGTTGGGATTCTTTATTAGAGGATGTAATGTCCTTTTGTGAAGCTCACGGCATCCCAAAGTTGGATATGGAACAAGAGTACATTGACCGACACAAACCAAGGCAAAGGACCGGCCGCACAAACTATCAACACTACAAGTATGATTGCTTGAACCCAATTATTGATTTGCAGCTTACATAATTTAATGATCGTTTCAATGAGGTAAATTCTGAATTGCTTACCAATGTTGCTGCTTTCAATCCCAAGAATTCTTTTGATGCTTTCAAATCTGAGAGTTTGCTGGAGTTGGCAAAGGCATATCCTAGTGATTTTGATTCAAATCAGCTAGACGATCTTAGTCTTGAGCTTAATATTTATATTTATAATGTGCGAGCCGATCCAAGATTTGCCCAACTGGATACTATTTCTGAACTTGATAGTCTGATGGTCGGTACAAAAAAATATATTGCTTTTCCTTTGGTATATCGACTCCTCAAACTTGTGTTAGTTCTTCCTATTGCCACAGCATCAATGGAAAGATGTTTTTCTATGGTGAAAATTGTGAAGACGGATCTACGGAACCGTATTGAGGATGAATTTATGAATGACTGTCGTTTGCTTCGTGGAACAAGAATTTCTTGATGTAATTCCAAATGATGATGTCATAGTTCGATTTCAGAATATGGATGATCGTACCGTAGAGTGAAATTATAAGAGGTAACCACTTATGTAAAAGTTTTTTTATGTTTTATTATAACATTGCTAATTTCGCTCCTCAATATGCCTACGTTTTGTATGTATCCTAGTGTTAGAGTACTATAAATTTCTATCATGACTCTTGTGCCGACCCCGACCCCATTTTTTCTAGATCCGCCACTGGTAAGAAGCCCCAATAATAAACAACAAAAGGCGATGAGGTCATTGTCTGGTGAAACAACGACGACTCATGGTACGTCTTCGTCGCCCCTTGAGCCGTCTACTTCAAACGCCAATTTATTTAGATTGAGTGAGAACGGCCCGTGAATGCCGCTTCCCCACTTTTATTCTTGCTGAGCCGAGCAGAACACTAGTTCGCTTATCGTCGGGCTTGACGAGTGTCTCTGAGCCGAGCAGAACACTAGTTCGCTTATCGCCAGGCTTGACGAGTGTCTCTTCTCACCGTGTCGAGAATGAGCCAAGTGTAGTGCCACGCTGCCGTGCGTGGACCCAGCACTGGACTAAGTTGTATTGCCCCTCTAACTCTCGTTTCTCTAATCTCTGCTTCAGGAAGCCGAACGCTATGGCCGAGCTAGAAATCGAGCCCAGGGGACTAATGGGGAACGCCATGGCGGAGCCAGAAATCGAGCCTGCTGACTAATTGGGGTTTGGATGGACTAAACTAAACTTTATGCTATGTTTTAAAGGCCAAATAGAAAGTCTAAATATAAAATAATCATAGACTAATAAGAACTAATAGGGCTAATTGATGAGTAGAACTCATTAGAATTTTTGTTAATTAATCTATGTTTAGTCTATTATCCAACAATGGGCTAAACTTTAGTCCGATGATCCAAATAGGTACTAAGCTGTGTTGCCCCTCGAACCTATCCTGCACCACCCACAGGCCACAGCTCCGCCTTTGTCTCCTCTGCTCGCTGCTCCCCTTCCTCGAGCAGCAGTCTCCGGTTTATACTCGATGCTGTACACAATTATGTTGTCAACCAATAGTAGAATAAGCCAATAAGACGTATTGGACCAGTGTTACAGGAACTTTTGAAAATGAAAGAAACATGCAGGAAAATCCAAAAAATTGCAAAAATTTTTTTGTTAGACTTTCCTAAGCAGATCTATTCAGGAAAAATAGGAAATCAACTGTTTCTTTAGTTTATTTTCCTGTGTTGTTGGTTCTTTGATTTTGGATTGTTCTATTTATGTTAAATTGAGTTGATCTAAAGAATTATTTTATTTACATTGATACTACTATATATGATCTCATGTGTATCAAAGAAACAATAAAACACTTCCAGAGCACCAGTTTTCCACATGTGCATCCGTTTTTCACATGGAAAGGGAGAGCTATAGTTTCAAAAAGAAAGAAAGAAAGGGAGAGGTACAACTCTGAAAAAACATATCCAGAGCACTAGCTCCACCTAGATCTACCATGAAGTTTGGCTCCTGAAAACATGTTTGGGAGAGCTTCAGCTCTAATTTGGACTCATGTGTAATTAGGGGCCAAAATGATTACATATGAGTCCATATTAGAGCTGTGGAGTATGTTGGCAGAGGGGGCAGTAACGTGGGGCATGGTGGCCCGAGCTCGCAGCCATTGGGGCCAGTTCATGGCGGCAGCATTGGCCCATCTTGTGGCCATGGGGGTTGAGATTGCGGCGGTGGCAGCGATGTGTGAGAGCCGAACTTGCAACGACCATGGGTGAGCTCACATCAGCGAGTGCACCAGGGAGTCGTGGAGGATGCCAGCGGCAATGCGTGCGAAGAATAAAAAGAGGTCGTGCGGAGAAATAGAATGAATCGGTATCTTGTGTAATTAGTGGTAGAACCCGTATTTCCAGAACACCTCTTGAGGAGCTCTATGAAATCAATGGATCTGGAAACGATCCATATTTTGGTGGATCTGGAGTTATTAGAGTTGGAGGTGTTTATAGCTACTAAAATTAGAAGTATAACTGTTTTTTGCAATTCTGAAGCTGGTAGAGTCGTTCCAAGCACCTGTTTTTTATTGTGAAAGAGGAGGTGGTCATCATCTTGGTTGAGGAATCTGATGAAAAAATGTACAAACCAATCATCCTTTTTCCCTAGCCGGCAACTGCTCTGCGTTGCTGAAGTAGGGGCAGAGATTCCGTAGGGATTAATCCTTGGATTGGGGTGGAGATAAAAAAGCTAGGGAGCTGATCGGCTGATGGTTTCTACAACTGATAAGCCGACTGATGCTGATTTGTTGTGAGAGGAAAACACTATACCATGACTGATAAGCCGGGTTGATAAGTTTAAGCGCGTAGGTCTTAATGGGGAGAGTCTAGGGCGAGAAATCATCGCGACAGTAAATTCCCCATCACAAACGCTGTTTTTTTTAGCACATTTTTTTTTGAGCACATGGGTGCGCCAGTTCTAGTTTTGGGCCCTAAACATTTAGGCCCGCACCGGCCACACTCGTAGAGACGGGCCTCCTGCTGAGTTTTGATGGGTGAGTTACAGGTGCAGCCTGGGAGAGAAGGCCCATCTCGGTCTGCTCATGTGAAAAGAACAGAAAAGCAAGCAGCCCAATCGGCCCTGCCAAGAAAATCCGAAGCCCACGAAGCCCAGCGAGCCCTTCTCCTCTAGGCTAGTATTAGTACGCGGCCAGCCGCCAGGGGCGGGTCGGAGTTGAGCACTTGAGTTCCCCTTCTCCTACCCTTCACCTCCCGATTACCGCCGCCACCACCGCGTCCCCAACCCCAGGCACTCCAGCGCCCCCGTACCGGATCGACGCCATGGTGTCGGAGGCCAGCAAGAAGAAGGCTGCCCAGAAGAAAGCTGCCGCGGCTGCCAAGAGGGGAGGCAAGGCCGCGGTGGCGTCCTCGTCGTCTTCATCTGCGACCGCGGCCGCCGATAAGACGGCGAACGGCGTGGCGGCGCTCAAGCTATCAGACCGCACCTGCACCGGGGTCCTCGCGTCTCACCCGCTCTCCCGCGATATCCACGTGAGCACCCCCTTTCCGATCGAACCCTCGTCTTCCTGTTCTTTCGTGATTCGTGGTGTGAATCTTTTACACTCCTGAGCTCGCCCTAGACGCGGAGGACCTAGCAGTTTATTTTTTTTCCTATTCGTTCCATCGCATACTCCATACGCATACTGGGTCAGCTTTTGGACGCTTGGAATCTCCGACATCTTTGATCGATCTCTAGAGATCTCTACTGCTCTGTTTCATTCCACGGCGAACCGATCTGTCTTCTAGAGTGGTTTTGATATGCGCACTGACCTTTGATCTTTGAATTAGTAGACTACTACTATTATTTATTTTGTTAGATATGGTTCCGCAAACATGGTGATGGGGAAATAGTTTCCAGGGGGCAGCGAATGGAAAATTGAAATTTCGTTTTGTTAATGAATAAAATAGGCACATAAAGGGACAAAATCAACGAAGCCCTCTGATATCGCATCCAGTGCCTTTGGATATTATGCTATATCTGAAAACAGAGGTGCCTCCACCGTATTCTATGCCTACCACTTTTCCTTCAGGAAAAGCAAGTGATAATGTTCCTCGTGGATCCAGTTTCGGCTGATTTCGGTTGATTCAATAGTGTTCTGTGAGAGAGAATAAGCTGAAACAAGCTGGGAGTGGAGCAGCCGAACAGGCTTCTTGCTTTCATTTTTTTTTTAATTTGGCTGGAATTTCTGCTTATAGGTTAATTGTTCCCGTCTCTAGCACAATCTCTATATCCTGTTGCAAGCACCATCTACACCATTGATCATTGTCTTTAATACATAACGGTCCTAACTAAATGGATGTATGTGCAGCAGTGAAATTCATTGACCATGTAAACGGTAGTCAGTTGGCAGATATAACTTGGAACAGACGTCATGATACTAGTTCCATGTGAAGTTCAAGTTTGGCTTCTATGTAGATTGTTATTATGAAATACAGGCTGTAGCTTCTTTCCTATTACTTGTCCTGGCACTTCCTTTTGCCATTAAAGGAAGTGAAAGAGATCTTTGGCCTCTTTTAAATTAAAACTCTCTCGTTTCAATATTTGGGTGCTGCATCTCCTGTTGATTTGTTTAGCCCATTGCTGATTGCTGATTTCCTAGTTCCCTAATAATCTACGTTTTGGATGTTGCAGATAGAGTCTCTTTCTCTAACATTCCATGGGCATGACCTTATTGTGGATTCTGAGTTGGAGCTGAACTACGGGAGGTAAAAACATAAATACATAATGCTACCATTCAGTAACGAGCAGGTATGCTGTTGGAGCACGTCACTGATACCTTTTATCTGTCATATTTTTATTTGATATATCAGGCGATACGGTTTGCTTGGGTTGAATGGCTGTGGGAAATCTACTCTTCTCACAGCAATAGGCTGCAGAGAACTTCCTATCCCTGAACACATGGACATATACCATCTAAGCCATGAGATTGAAGCTTCTGACATGTCCGCACTGCAAGCCGTTGTTACCTGTGATGAAGAAAGAGTGAAGTTGGAAAAGGAAGCAGAAATTTTGGCTGCACAGGTTGAGCTCTTGGAATCACAGAATTGTTATTGTCACATGTTCCTTCTCTATGTACTGCCTTTCTCAGGTTGCAAACTGTAAGTTAATGCTGGTGGCATTTTTAGGACGATGGTGGTGGCGAAGCGTTGGATCGTGTTTATGAGCGTCTAGATGCAATGGATGCTGGAACTGCAGAAAAGCGAGCTGCTGAAATATTATTTGGTCTGGGTTTTAACAAACAAATGCAGGCAAAGAAAACTAAAGATTTCTCTGGAGGTTGGCGTATGAGGATTGCTTTGGCAAGAGCACTGTTTATGAATCCAACAATCCTTTTGCTTGATGAGCCAACAAACCATCTAGGTAAGTCTTGGGAAATCTAAAGTCAATGGAAATATAATTAGAATACTGTGTTTTTAGTGACAGAAATTTAATTGGAACTCTGCTATCAGTGAAATATTTATTTATATACAAGAAGTTGGAACTTCATATCCATATGCCCATTTGCATAGCCTTACATTTCATTAATTAGTAAGGCAGTTGCCTTCAAGCAACGATGGATAGATTCACCCAAACATAAATGATACCTTGTGAATTCTTATGCACATTTGCACAGCCTTACTTTATACTTCTGAATAATACTGCCAAAATTCAATAATTCTTAAGTGTTCTGTCAAAGTTACTTTTTACGGGCTGTTTTCAACTCTGGTATTGAAGGCATCGTTTTCTAATTCTTTACACTCGTTTGCAGATCTTGAGGCTTGTGTCTGGTTGGAAGAGACACTAAAGAAATTTGACCGCATACTTGTTGTCATATCACACTCTCAAGATTTTCTAAATGGAGTGTGCACTAACATTATCCATATGCAAACCAAGAAGCTCAAGTTATACACCGGTAACTACGATCAGTATGTTCAAACTCGCTCCGAGCTTGAAGAGAATCAAATGAAGCAGTACAAATGGGAGCAGGAACAGATTGCTTCAATGAAGGAGTATATTGCTCGCTTCGGTCACGGTTCTGCAAAGCTTGCTCGTCAGGCTCAGAGCAAAGAGAAAACTCTTGCAAAGATGGAGCGAGGTGGTCTCACTGAGAAGGTTGTTAGGGACAGAGTTCTAGTGTTCCGGTTTACAGATGTTGGCAAGCTTCCTCCACCAGTGCTGCAGTTTGTTGAAGTCAAGTTTGGGTATACACCAGATAATCTCATATACAAGAGTCTGGACTTTGGTGTTGATCTTGACTCTAGAATCGCATTGGTTGGTCCCAATGGGGCAGGGAAGAGCACTCTTCTGAAGCTTATGACTGGTGACCTTGTTCCATTAGATGGCATGGTTCGGCGCCATAATCACCTGCGCATTGCGCAGTACCATCAGCATCTGGCAGAGAAGCTGGATCTGGACATGTCAGCCCTGGCTTACATGATGAAGGAATACCCTGGGACCGAAGAAGAGAAGATGCGAGCTGCTGTTGGCAGGTTTGGCCTGTCAGGAAAGGCGCAGGTGATGCCGATGAAGAATCTTTCTGATGGGCAAAGGAGCCGTGTCATTTTTGCATGGCTGGCATATAGGCAGCCGCAACTGCTACTGCTTGATGAGCCGACAAACCATCTGGATATTGAGACCATTGACTCCCTGGCAGAGGCACTGAATGAGTGGGATGGTGGTTTGGTCTTGGTGAGCCATGATTTCAGGCTGATCAACCAGGTTGCTCAAGAGATCTGGGTGTGTGAGAATCAGGCGGTGACAAGGTGGGAAGGTGATATCATGGATTTCAAGGCACACTTGAAGAACAAGGCTGGTTTATCTGATTAGAAGGCTTTTCTAGCGACCATGAGCTTTTTAACTCTGTATCAAGAAGTCCTATTTTTCCAGCAGCAAACTATCGGAGATACTGCTATTGTATCGGATTCCTTAAGACTTCTATCGCAACCAGAGTACCTTATACTACCTGGAATGTTTATTTTATATATTTTTTGAAATGCTATATTATGTGTACTGTAAGCTTTGTAGATTTTGGAAGTTTGGATTTGTCAAAGTTACTGGATTCTATGATCATTGTGAACATACAACTTAAATTTAGTTTCAAATTCAACTGAAATTTTATTTCTTCAGATTCAGAAAAATGGTTTTGTTAATCTTTTGAAAATTTTATTACACTTTGGTGGCACTTGTTTGGAGTGGTTTTGCACATTATAGTTTGATGATGTTTATTGTACTGAAGTCATGAGTTTCATACCATCAGTTCCATTTGTCTGGTTGACATATTCTTCAAAGAACGCGTATGACGCTACGCGTCTAGCCCAAGTTCGTAGCATCTCGCGTATGACGCTATGCGGCTGGCCCAAGTTCGTAGCATCTCTCAAAATGAAGTTGATGGTTCCCATGGCATTGGTATCCATCATGAGCGCCGACTTTTTTTGTTTTGTTTTTTTGATCTTTTTTTTTAGAAAAATTCATATTACCATATTTTGATGTAAGATTGAGCCAACTGCTGGATGGGTTTTTTCTTCATATAATAATTTACTTGTAAAAAAACCCAAGATTGTGATAGATTTAGAATACTCTTGAGAAGCTTTCAACGCTCCAGATCAACTTGTTTACAACCAATTAACCAAACACCAACTTAATTTATGTATACAGATGTATATGCATGCTTGCCGTGTGTAGTCTATAGTACCATCCATCTGGTCAACAAACAACAGAAAGGAATGAAAGTAGTGGCAGGGATGCATCCATACATTGTCTTTGAAGCTCACATGGCCTCACTTTTACAAGCCACTCTTGTATATAACTGCCGCATGTACTTGTCTCTCGACACACAACACAAACACACATTCACAATAAAGGATCGACGCCAGAAAATAATAATGGCCCAGACCGTCGTCGTAGCGCTTTGCATTGCCGCCGCTGTCGCGGCTGCCGCTTCTGTGCCATCAGCAAGTGCGTCCGATCAGACCACCGCCATGCATCTGCTCCCTGTGGAAGCAGCAGAAGTTTTGACGAAGGGAAGGGCTGGCGGCGTCGCCATCCAGAAGGAACTCACCGGCGGCATCCAGAGGGAGCTGCTAGACGAGAGCTGGGTCAGAGACGCGGACGAGGCCAGGTCCGGGGTTGCCGGCATCCAGAGCCAGAGGGAACTACTGGGAGAGAGCTGGGTCGGAGGTGCGGAGAGGCCAGGTCCGGGGTCTCCGGCATCCAGACCGAGAGGCAACTCACCGCCACCGATGCCATCCCAGCCACTACCGAGAAACTGCTCCCAGTGGGAGCAGCGGAAATCCCGACCAAGGGCAGGGCCGGCGGCGTCGCCATCTAGAAGGAACTCACCGGCGTTAATGTGCCCGCAGCATGAGCCCCAACTATTTGGCCGTTCATCATGCAGCAGTGATCATGATATCATCCTATGCAACGTCCGGCGCCATGTCCATTGTTTGTGTTTGTGTGTGCCACACGTCGATTGATGGATCTATATAACTGTGTCATGTGTCTGTTTTCCATTCTTTTCTTGGACTATATTTAATCCAAGGGGTGGAGTCCCTGGCCCTAAAACAAATATCCAAGCAGAATGGCAACTGATACTGTTAATATTGGATTCTAAATTCCATGTCGACTACATGTGTATGATTTATGATTTTTGTTTGAATTGCCACTAAATGCACGCCATGCCAATCCTGCTTCTAACCAATGCCAGAGCCAGCAAAAATATTTTAGTTGGGGTGAATTTTAGTCACGAGGTTATCCAAAGGCGTAAAAAGGATGCATACACGTATTATATTGCACTTGTCTATAGGCAATCGTCCGTGGTTACGGAGCATATCCAAGAGTTGCCAACAATTTTCTTTCTAAAACCATGGAATTTTTAAAGTAGCCAAAAGTTATTAAAAAAAATAAATAAGACCATTTCTAACAGTTTTTAATAATTCACTCATAAAATATAGAAGACAATTTTACATCAGCAATCCTATACTATTTCTAAATTATCCTAACCACTTTTATATATTCTCTCTCTTGTATATTTGTATCAGGAACATTTTCCTGCTCTTTATTCTTTTTCACGCCCTGTCACCTTTAGATTGGCCGATGGATACACGCTTCGTTGACGCGCGGATATATCAGCGTAACCGTCTATTTTTATAAGTGCGAAAAGATTGGGAGGTGGGATTGGGAACGGTCGGAGATGGATTTTTTCCATTCTTGCCAAAAATCAAAGATTGGGAGGTTTTATTGGGAACTCTTGGAGATGCTCTTATTTGCTCGCAGCCTACGCAGCTGCCGCCACCAAGACACCGTCTGCCACAACTCTCTTCCCACGCTACCACCGCCACCACCGCCATGCCCAGGGCCTCTGTAACGACCCGAGTTTGCTACAACCCACGCTCTCAATTCTGACCACCGATGAAGCTCCTAGATGAGCCCTGCAAGCTTTTGGACATAGCAGAAACCGCAAATACATTGCCTTCCTACCCAATAAGGCGACCCGCAATCTGAAAGATGCACCATATTGGCTCAGAATGTTAGAGCTCAGGTTATTGACCTTTAGAATAAAGTTAATTGGCCTCAATGCCAAATCCCAAGTATTTGGATCCATCTCTCAACCAACAGAGAATACTAGACGGTCCGACATCATACTGAACCATCCGTCAGTACCTGAACTGCATGCAGTGAGTGGGGAATGAGCTGTCCTCCACTCAACCCTTGGCCCCACATGTCATATGCATGAAATGGAAGATGGGATCATCAGCTGAAGCAATTCCCAACTCAACCCATTGTCCCATTTCTCACCTTCCTCTCTCTCTCTCTCTAAAAGAGCAAGAACAAGGAAGAACTAGAGAGAGAAAATGGAGATTGGAGACGAAGGTGGAAGAAGAAGTGAAGACATGCAATCCAAGAACATCACCTCATCAAGCCCAACCTATCCTCATCTCATGATCATGGTTAGCTCATGAGCTCTCATCTCAATTAGTTGGAAATTTCTCCCAAACCCTAATCTCAATCTTTCAAGCATGTATGGATCATGGAGTGTGGTGACATCTCATTCATCACAAAGATAAGATCAAGGCCCTATGCATGACCAATCTCAAGGAATCCTCCTCAATGTCATTCTATTGCATTTCAATGGATTCTTGCAAGGATGTTGGTATTTCTCTTCAAGGATGGAAAGCAAGGTGTGCTCAATCTCTTATTAAGGATCCTAGCCTCTCATGATTATCAACCTTAAAGTTAAGTTCCTTTTGCTCAATCTCAAGCCTTAATCTCAAGTGGTTCATGGGAAAAGATAGAACCCAAATCACTAGATGAACTAGTTAGCCAAAACCCAAAACCTAACTAGCTCTAGCCTAGCATATCCCTAGAGTCATCCTAGAAGTTTGGTGCACATGCATAGATGTCTACCACCCCAAATCAGGAGTCTAACCAACCCAAAACCTAGAGTATAGGTTCTGTCGCCCAACTCGCGGAGTGTGCGCCAAGTACGGCGGAGCGTCCGATAAGCCTTCCCAATTTAGTAAATTTCCCTACAGAAACACCCATAACCTTGCTGAGTGGGAATAGCAGAGTGTCTGACAATTCGTCGGAGTGTCCGTTGAATTATAAAGAATAGTCACACAGTAACCTAAGAGTACCCAGTTCATACCAGAGCGTCCATCAGTCGATCGGACCATTCGATGTTGTCAGTAAACCCTAGAAATGGCTAAGTCCTGGGCCTACCGGAGTACCCGTGACCTCCATGGAGTGTCCGTCAACCTGAACAGAGCCAACCCAGGAATAACCCACCTCGGCACCCAACACAGCGTAACAGTAGAGCCACAGTAGATGTCCCTTCCCAAGTTCTCCATGTTAACCTATGCACCTATATCCTTTCTCGTTATCTCGATCGTCGATGTATCTCCTAAGTCGCGTCTCCCCTATTCTTTCAGGAACGCCTCGAGTAAGGATTGTGTAAATGTACAAGTCATCATCGTCAGCTTTGAGAGTTAGGACAACAACAAATCAGGAAGGCACCCCACTACTATGAACCCTACTTTGGATACTTATCGAGTTTCATTATGAGTTATGCATTACATGTAGTTTTGGTTATTAATCTTGTTCACCTTACACTTAGTCACTCATTAATCTTGTAGAAGCCACTCATCTAAACAATGGGAATGGAAACGCTTAATTGCTTATTGCTTAGTTGCTTAGCAATGGTAGAAGTCGAGCATGAGAAGGGAACTCATTCTTGCGCATGTAGGATGCTACACTTGGATAAATGATTACTAATAGCAATGAGGGTACAACTTGACTTACTTCACTAATCTAGCTAAGGAATAATATCACTAAAAGGTATAAACATGGACACCACTTTTATAACTTCGCTCAAGCGAGGGGTAGGTCGTTGTGAGTGTGGGATCTCAAGTGACGTAGCTCGTGGAGCAGTTAAGGACTGTTTATTGGGATATGTGAGTCCGAGTAACCACCCATACAGACCACATGTCGTGGATGGGGTCGACAAGCCATGTAACTAATTGCGATCGGTTTATCCGTGACACTGGCAAGGTAGTGGCGCTGGTCGGGAATGTCCAGGACATTGACCAAGCACCAGTCGAACCTTTCATAGGACACTTGGGATGGATTAGGGAAAGGTTGGAGAACGTGAGGCAACCCTTACTACTAAACCCATGTATGGTGGTTAGTCCCATTTTCTATGTGGGTACAGTTGTACACATCTGTAGAGTTCGAAAGCCTGAAGTCCCCCAGGATGGAACCATTCGGTTGTTCCTACTTTTATACCCATGGTAGTGTTGTTTATGAGCTAAGAGCACTTAGGTGCAATCTTG